GAGCAAGGGGCACGTAGCTCTGGGACTCCCGGCGGTGGTAGACAGTCACTTCCATGGTATGTGTGCCCAGCATTGCGTTGCCTGTCACAATGCTCAGCCCCGACACTGGGCCCCCCAGAACTTGCCAGTATTGGCCTGAGGTTTTTGAAAAGAAAAGCAGGGGTGGGGGTGATACTGATCAAGGGAAACTGAGGGGAAGGATTAGAGATAGGGCACCAGAGAAGGAAGGTCCAGTAATGTACTGAGTATGGTTATTTCAGAGAGTATTTGGAAGGTGGTCCTGTGGGGGTCAGAAAAGGAATCCTGATAAGGGGGTCCATGGGATAAGACAATAATTGGGGAAGGGCCCCCAGAAACAACTATAGTAGAGAGAGTTGGAGGGGGCGGGGTGCTATCAAAGAAGAAAGAGACATGGGGGCAATAAAGATTAAGGAAACTCACAGAGCAAAATGAAAGGGGATCAGGTAGGAAGAGGTAAATCCAAGAGTGGATGACTCACCCCAGGTCTTCCAGACATAAACAAAGCTTCTTGTCTGAGACCAAGGGCCAGATGGGCAGGCCCTCCCATCAGGGAAGATGCAGGCATCATCAGGTACCTGGGGATACACTGGCTGTCCTCCCCACACCTGGCTCCCTGAAAGGTAGATACAGTCACCCTCGAAACCTGGCATTCCTTTCTATACACCAAAACCCCTACCATGGCTGCCAGAGAGGGGCTGTGGGAACACTCCTTAGCTACACAGGACATTCCCTTTGTTATCACCCATTTGGGGTAATAGTGGAAAGGATGGAAACTGGAATTAAAGATTAATATGTACTTAATGACAGAGGAAAGAGATTGGAAGATCATATAGCAACATGTTTAGAGTGGTTTGCTCTAGCTGGTGGGATAAAAACAATAAGAGTATCAGCTGACACTTATTGAGCCTCACCTTAGCCTAGGGCAGGCATTATGCTAAATTCTTTATATATATATTTTTAAAGATTTTATTTATTTATTTGAGAGAGAGAGAATGAGAGATAGAGAGCATGAGAGGGAAGAGGGTCAGAGGGAGAAGCAGACTCCCTGCTGAGCAGGGAGCCCGATGTGGGACTCGATCCCGGGACTCCAGGATCATGACCTGAGCCGAAGGCAGTCAGTCGCTTAACCAACTGAGCCACCCAGGCGCCCTAAATTCTTTATATATTATCACATTTTCATCCTTACAACAACATTCAAGGTAGTCATCCCATTGTACAGTTAAGGGAATGGAAGCACAGAACAGTTAAGTTACCTGCCCAGGGTAACATATTATTTACAAATTTAAATCCATGTCTGTCTAAACTCTAGGTCCACTGGGTCTTCTGTCGCCAATTTTGCATACTGTATTTTTTTTTTTGATTTATCTGTGTTTTAAAATTTTTTTCTGCAATGAATATTATAGAATATGTATATAATTTGTTTAAAAGAAAAAGTAGGGGTGCTAAAAAAAAAAAAGGTGGCTCAGTCCCTAAGCGTCTGCCTTTGGCTCAGGTCATGATCCCAGGGTCCTAGGATCGAGCCCCACATCGGGCTCCCTGCTCAGCGGGAAGTCTGGCTTCTCCCTCTCCCACTCCCCCTGCTTGTGTTCCCTCTCTCACTCTCTCTGTCAAACAAATAAAATATTTAAAAAATGAACAAACAAATAAATAAAAAGTAGAGCGGAAGGGGGCACTCCTTGAGCTCACGAGGGACACCAGGAAATCTGAGCCCTTCGCATAAAGGCCTGGAGTAGAGAGGTACTCACCATTGACGATGGTGTTGTTAGCCCAGACGACCTGCCCATCTGGCAGCACCTTTTGGCTTTTGGGGAAGTGCAGGGCAATAGAGAAGGAGGCATTTGCCCCAACCAGCGTAGGCCCATCATTACTGACCTTCAAGGACACCTGGCCACCTGGGAAGGACCAGCTGCGTTAGCCGGGACTCCACGGTTTTTCCTCCCCTTATACCTTTCCCCTTCCTATCTTTCCAAGCTACATTCAACTCAGATCTTGCTCCTCTCCACACCCCATGCCCTCCCTCGAAATTGCCAAGTTCCCACCTCTCCAGCAGTCAGGCTCCTGGATTTCTGTCCACTCTGGATACAGGTGCCTGTTCCAGGCTTTAGTTGTGAGCTGCCTTGGGACACCAAGCCAGTCCTGGTCTCTGGGTCCTAAAAAGAAGGTACCATGAAGGCCCTACGATCGCCCCTCAATCTCTTGTCAGGGGATAGCCCTGTTCCATGTCACCCCACTCACTCTCACATTCAAAGTACATTTTAATTTACTGAATAGCCACCATGTACCAGGCACTGTGCTAGGTACAAAGGACTTAAGAAATGAATAAGACATGGCCCTGAAGGGATTCAAGACATGTCCATAAATTATAATAATTCAAGGCACTGTTTAATATGAGCCATAACAGACATGCACAAAGTGCAAAAAAAATGACTAAAGAGATTAGTTCTACTCTGGTGGATTGGGAAAGACCATTGGAGTGAGGAGTTGGCCTGTGGAATGGAGCATTCTGGGCAGAAGGACCAGCACGAGCGGAGCCATGGAGGCATGGTAGCATGAGGCATGATAGGAACTACCAGTGTGGTTGATGCACACTGTAAGAGATGAGGCCAAGAAGACAAGTGAAGGCTCTGAGTGCCAAGCAAAGGAGTCTGGCCTTTATTCTGTAGGCAAGGCCACGGCAGGAGATTGTGTTTGTTTCATTGAGATATAATTCATATACCATAAAATTCACCCTTCAGAAGCTTTTTGAATATGACCAGATCTGGGTTTTAGAAGGATCACTATGGCAAGCAATGTAGAGGATGGATCAGAGGCAGGCAGAGGTTGGGAGTGGGGACCAAGCAGACAAAATTATTATAACTGACCAAGAGAGAGGTCTGAGAAAAAGGGATAAGATGGATCTACATATACGCCTCACCCAGGTACAACAACTACCAACATTTTGCCACATTTGCTTTATCTATCCTTTGTTGTTGTTGTTGTCTGTTTGTTGGCTAAAGTATGTAGAAGCAAGTCCCAGACGTCTTGTTATTTTAACCCTACAATTTCAATACGTATCTATAAAAAATATGAGCATTTTCTTGAATAAACACAATGTCATTTCACACTGGACAAAATTATCAAACCCAATTCATATAAAATTTCATAAATATCTAAAAATGTCTTCTTATTTAAAAAATCAGTATCCAAAAAGTAAGCACAATCTTTTAAGAGGCTCAGGTGGACAGGCACGAACAGAATGTTTCCAGAATACACTAAGGAAATAGTAAAAGAAAAAGACTTGAAACTGCAGCGTAAACGAGGGGAAGTCAGATCAACGAGAACTTCCTAGAAGTCTGTGAGACCATGGATCCAGAGAGAGAAAGAGGAGACTGGGACATGATATCTGTACTTTAGCACAGGAGAAACTATCTTCACTCCATTTGTAATGGGTACTGGAAACCTAGCTGAGTCTGCTGGGGGTGGGGGTGGGGGTGGGGATCTAGAATCATCTCATTGAGCATCCCACCACTACAGCAAGAGAATCATAAGATACCCCATTCTTTCTTCACTCCCAACCCTCCCTCCTCAGAGCAGCACGGGACATTCCAGACCCTCTCACCATCCCCACCCCCCCCCCCTGCTCCTGTCACGAGGCCCCCATCCCCCCGAGCCCTTTCATGTGATGCTCAGCTGAGACCCCTCTGCCTGTCTCTTCCAGCCCCAGAACAAAAGCCTGAGCTGTGTTCACCCATCCCCATCCCAAAGAGGGGAGATGGTACCTCCTTACCTTTTCTGTCCAATACCACATTCTCTTACTCCTCACTTAAAATACCCTACCCCAAGTGCCTGAGTCATTCCCTAAGTCTTCCACTTATTTCCCTTTTGAAGCCCCTTCTCCAGCTCATTGCCCAGGGAGCCTCAGAATTAGGGCCACAAAGACCCACTATCCTTTTGCCCTTCCAAGCAGATGGGATTATTTTCAAGCTCAGTCCCAAATCTCCACATAGGGAGGGAGCTCAGATGCCCATGTCCTCGCTAAATCAAATGGGTGGGAGAAGCCTGAAATATTGCCGGTATCTCCCATGAGGAAGGGAAAAACCAGAGTAGGTGTGCAACCCCAAATTCACACTTGTTCAAGTCCACACACCCGACGCTCACCTTCTGTGGCCCCCACAGCCAGAAGAGCACCCATCACAGCCACATGGAGAAGGCATTTTCTCAGCACCAGATTCATCTTGTTCTTTCTTCCAGCAACCAAAGGCGCTGGGGGGGGCTGGGAGAAGCCCCTATATAGGAGAGGGGTGCTCATTTGCATAGCCCTTCCTCCAGGAGAGGCTTGGGAGGGGCAGGAGGACCGGAGAAAAGCAGAACTGACAAGGGATCCTGGTCCCTGGACCATCCCGCTACTCAATGACAGTTTCTGGTTTCACTGGGTCACTCCCTTCTTGACTGGGAAATAATTGATTGAAGGTCAGCTACATAACATGTACCGGACACATATAATTAATCATAGGCTAGTGAATCAGTCTGTTGTTTGAGTTAAACCAGGAAACCTCTCAAAGAGACAGAGACCCTGCATCCTAAAACAGAGAGATAGTATAGGACGGGTAGAGAGGCGGGATGAACATCTTTAAGGCCCAGAAAACCCAGACAATGAGATTCCTAGCTTCCTGCTTTTCAAGGGAGACTCTCTGGGCCAGGTGGAATTTTAGGGCGAGACACATTTTCCCTAGGGTTGGTGAAACGGCGAATTAGAGATCAGGAAATCCCTACAGATTCAGGACACAGTTAAGAAACTCGACTTCAAATCAGGTACTTGGAAAAAGACATTTATATTCCCCACCGAGACAGAAACTTGCGTTAAGGATCCTCGGAACTAAACTTGCGCGAGGTGGGGCCTTTTGCGGCAGCTAGGGGCGCTGGGCTCGCCCCTCCGCTCTGACGTTGACCAATAGGAAGGGCTGGGGGCGGGGCTAGGGAAACGCGGGAAGGAGGGGCGGGGCCTCTGGTGGCGGTAGGGAACTGGAGGGGAGGCGGCAACATTGTTTCAAGTTGGACAAATTGACAAGAGCGAGAGATACACTCCGTTCCATCCCGACCTGGGGCCGCAGAGCTGGGCCCTGTTTCCCCCTCCTCCACCCCCCCGAGAGCCGGGGCCCGCCTTTTGCAGGGTTCCCAGGCCCCCGCTCCAGGGCCGGGCTGACCCGACTCGCTAGCGCTTCATGGAGAACTTCCAAAAAGTGGAAAAGATCGGAGAGGGCACGTACGGAGTTGTGTACAAAGCCAAAAACAAGGTGACGGGAGAAGTGGTGGCGCTTAAAAAAATCCGCCTGGACACGTGAGTGGCCTCTGTACCCGGGACTCCTCTAACTCGGGAGCTCCTTGAGTGCCCCCCCCCCGCCCCCACCCCAACAGACGGGTAGCCGTCCAAGGACCGGAAGGTAGCAGGGAGGGACTTCTTTTGAAGTGGAGAGGTGGGTTGGAGGACAGTGAAGGGCTTCCCTCTGGAGAGTATAGGGAACTGTAGAATCTGTGGGAAACTTCCTCCCCAAAGCCGAGTGATGCCCCCAAATCTGCAGTCAGGAAGAGTCAGGAAGAGGAAGGAGGCCTCTGAGATGGGGTCCAGGACTCCCCGTGGAGTTGGGTTTTGTGGGAACCGGTGAAGAGCACCTTTCTGAATGAAGAGCCCTCCTCACTGCCCCAACCCCACCCTCATCTTAGAATTCTCTACTTCTTTCAAAAGAATGGCAGTTGAACCTCACTGGCCCCTCTAGGGAGGCTGGGTGCTGCTACTCCTATTTTTTCCCTGTTACCTTCTCTCTTCTTCACCTCCACCAGAAGGCTTTACTTACCTACCCCTGGGAAGAGAAGAAATAATGACCTTAATGTATTAAAAAACCACTCCCTGTCCACCCATGAATTAACTCCTACAGCACCCTTTCTCTTTTCTCACTTTCCTAGGGGATGCTGGGGTGGTGTCTCATTGGGAGGAAAAGAATGACTGGGCTGGGGGAAAAGGAATATTTGTAACCACATTCCTATCTCTGCTCTCTCAACCTCTCCAAGTGAGACGGAGGGTGTACCCAGTACTGCTATACGAGAGATCTCTCTGCTTAAGGAGCTTAACCACCCTAACATTGTCAAGTAAGTATGTATCTGGGCGGTGCTCTGGCAGTAAAGGAGGATGTGTTCTGTCTGTGTAGCCTGGGTATTACTCTTCCTCACCTCCATTCCTGGACCTCTCTTCCCAGGCTGCTGGATGTCATCCACACAGAAAACAAACTCTACCTGGTTTTTGAGTTTCTGCATCAGGATCTGAAGAAATTTATGGATGCCTCTGCTTTGACTGGCATTCCTCTTCCCCTCATCAAGGTAATCCTTCTCAACAACTCCTCCCCAACATGGGCAAGTTTTGGGGGGACTGAAGACAGGCAATTCAGACTGAGTGATGATTTGTGATCTTGGCTTCCTCCCCAGCCCTCATCCCCCTACACACACATGCACACACACACACACACCTTTGTTTTGTGGCTCTTTCACTGCTCATTATGCTTATTAACCCCTGGGCTGGGCAGGAGAATCAAAGAAGTTGAAACCCTAGTGAGTCAACTTTGTAGCTCAGGTGGAAAGTCAGATGAAACTCAGATAAATGGGACTTGAGGGCACTCGGTAGATTCCTCCAAGAAGCCCTTCCACTTGTTTGGTAGGAGAAATAGCCAGTGAGTCTCTGTTGTCTGTTTTAGGACTGGGTTCTTTACTCCCCAAGCTACTTTCAATCTACCAACAAACGTTTATTCAGTGCACATTTATTGAGCACCTTCAATGTGCTAGGCACAGGATATGGAAAAGAGATGCAAAACTGAGTAAGACCTAGTTCTTGTCTTCACTGGAAGGGCCTCTCACTCCAATGGGATATACAGCTTATAAACATGTAATTATAATCTAATATAGTAAAAGGCTTTAGTTGAGCTTTGCAGTCAGAGAGTAGACCCTAATAGCTCACTGTGGTGGAGGAACAAAGTCCTCTCTCTCTCCTTTGTCAGAGTTATCTGTTCCAGCTGCTTCAGGGCCTAGCCTTCTGCCATTCTCATCGGGTTCTGCACCGAGACCTCAAACCTCAGAATCTGCTTATCAACGCAGAGGGGGCCATCAAGCTAGCAGACTTTGGACTAGCCAGAGCCTTTGGAGTTCCTGTTCGTACTTACACCCATGAGGTGAGACCCTCTCTACATTTCTTCTCTGAACTTCCTGGGAGGTGTTAACAAGGACATTCACAAAATTACTAAACCTATCTGGTCAGCAGTTTCTCTCTCACTAGATGGAAAGTATGTCTGGCTACCCCAAGAAGTTTTAGAGTATGCACCAAGTTCACATTGTGGGGCTAACTGGGCTTTGATAGATATGAAGCCAGGAGAGCTGGATGGCACACCATTAAAATTATGACCATTTGTCTCAAGTTCTCCAGGAAGGTTGCAAATTGCGGGTTCAGAAAATATGGTCCTCAGAGTCAACGGGCGAGGCTAACTCCGGTCTAAGAAGTTGTATATACATTTTACTGAGGGGAAGTCAGAAAGATGGGAAAGATGAAGGGGGAGAAGCTGCTTGTTAACAGGCTGAGAGTTAGCAGAGTAACACTGAGGAGCTGAGATGTGGGAATCACCATGCCCCATGCACCACCCCTCCCCTTCCTGCTCTTGTCCCCAGGTGGTGACCCTGTGGTACCGAGCACCTGAAATCCTTCTGGGCTGCAAGTACTACTCCACAGCTGTAGATATCTGGAGCCTGGGCTGCATCTTTGCTGAAATGGTACGGAGGCAAGCCCAAGTTCCACCCAGCTCACTCCTCCCCACATTCAAGAACAACACAACTGTTTCTTTGCCTAGACCCGTGGCCCTTCTATTATCATAGGGTTTTTTTTCTCTAGAGTAGCATCAAGGCAGGTAGGGGGGAAAGGATAGGACTATTGTCCCTGATGCCAACCACAATGTTAGTATAACCTCAAACGGCCTTAGCACTCAAAACACATCTTTACCCCTGAATTGAGCTAAATCATTTCTGCAGCTGTTTTAGCTTTAGTTTGCATATATTTGGGAGAATGAGTACCTGCCATTCAGTGCCTCCTTCATTTGGCCTGTAGACCTTATTGTAGGGTTCCAGGAATATGGTGAAACCAACTGTATTCACCTTATCTATCCATACCTTTTATTTAAACTGCAGACTTAAATCATGTCCCCCTCAACTTCTGGCTTTTCAGAATGAAGGATCCCTGAGGCCCAGCCTTTTATGGGAGCTCCCATCCCCTTTAATATAACAGTGGAGTGGGCTGCATTTTCAAATCAAATCCGCAATTTGTTTTATGGTCCTTTATCTGGGTTGTAACTGGGGGCTTAGAAACCACTAGCCTGTATATAAAATGTGCATTTATCCCCCAGTACATTACCTTACAATTGCCCATATTCCTCTCTCAATTCATCAAAAAATATTTGTTAAGCACCTAGTGTGTACCCAGCACCATGCTAGGTGCTGTGGGGAACACAGAAGAAATGGAAGACACAGTCTCTGCCCGCTGTGCTCCTATCTAGAAGTGGCTGCATCACAAGGAGGGGGGATGACCGCAGTGTCTACCCCACACCCCGTGAGTGGCTTGGGATCCCTTTGCTACATGTCAGTGGCACCCCAGACATTCACCCCCTCCCAGCCCCACCCAGCCTTGGGGATCTGCAAAGGCATGGTTGGGGGAAGGAAGGAGGGGGCGAGGAGACAGATGAAGGGACTTCATTGTCTCAAGCTCTGTGTGACTGACCCCATGAAAGGCCCTGGGGAGGGAGTCATGGGGCCCTGCTGACCTTCCACTGCCTGTGGGAACCTCCATTGCACAGGGAGCAGCTTTGACTGACATCAGTACGGGTCTTGGCCTTTTCTCTTTCCCCATTTTCAGGTGACCCGCCGGGCCCTATTCCCTGGAGATTCTGAAATTGATCAACTTTTCCGGATCTTTCGGACTCTGGGGACCCCAGATGAAGTGGTTTGGCCAGGAGTTACTTCTATGCCTGATTATAAGCCGAGTTTCCCCAAGTGGGCCCGGCAAGATTTTAGCAAAGTTGTTCCTCCCTTGGATGAAGATGGACGGAGCTTGCTGTCGGTGAGAGTTGGGATGGGCACCCATTTCCTCTCATTTACTTCCCCAGGGCAGGTTTTTTCCAGGATGAAGGAAGGATGAGACCCTGGACTTTGGGTCTTGGCATTTCCCTAGCCCCTGCTTCTCTCTCTCCCTGTTGGCACACCCGTTCAAGTATAGGGAGGAGGGAATTGGGAACTCTGCCTTGGGTAAAAGGAATACTGGTTTCCTGATTTCTTGGAACACCTGCTGCCCATTTAGTCCACTGTCATATCACTGAAGTCAGCATACATCTCTCCCTCCAGCAAATGCTGCACTACGACCCCAACAAGCGGATTTCGGCAAAGGCAGCTCTGGCTCACCCTTTCTTCCAGGATGTGACCAAGCCAGTACCACACCTTCGACTCTGATGTCCTTCCCCCAGCCCCTACCCCAAGTCTCATCCTCTCCTCCAGCAGGGGCCTGATTTGGCTTGGCCCTGGGCTATTTGCCCTCTGATCTTGTCTGGCTGCCTTAACACCCACCTCCCCTTCTTAACCAGCCAACTCTGGGGATATAAAGGGTGGAGGGGAGAAATAGGTGAAAATGAAAGGAAGCTTCAGTATTAGATGCACTTAAGTCCCTCCACCACCCTCTCCTCCTCCTCTTAGTCATTGCTGAGGAGGGCTGGTGTTTAAAAAAAAAAAAAAAGACTGACTCTCCCCACCCCCACCCCCCGCCCCATAGGGTTTGCCATCCCAATCTCTGAAAGCCCTGAAATTATTATTTCCTGTGTTTGGGAAGACAGACACCCCAAGCCTTCTGCGACCACTGTGTTTGTAAGGCCAACTGATAGCAGAGGACCTAAGTTGGAACTTTTGAAAACCAAGCAAAACAAAAACATAGGGAGGGGCCTGTTTTAAAGAATTAGGTTGAAAAATAGACCAACCAATCTATACCCTAGTTTTAGTGTTTCATCTCACCTAACAGTGTAGGAGACTCAAGACTCCCAGTCTCTGCAGTCCTTATGGGACTGCAGTAGAAATGATTGCCCCTAGAACCCCCTTTCTGTCCCTCCTACGGGCAAGAGGTATCTGGGAAGCTGATACCTCTTGGTATCAGGACAGGAACTGTGCTTCACTGTGGCCTTATGAGGCAAGGAAAAGTTGTTTCAATGTTTCTCTTCCTTTTAAGATTCTTAGTTCTTCATGTCCCAGGTCCCATCTTCCTCTGAAGGCCACCCCATAGGAGTGGAAGTTAGGGTTTAGACATCATTTTGAGAATGCTGACACTTTTTTAGGGCTGTGATTGAGTGAGGGCATTGGGAAAATTTTTTTCTTTAAAAGAAGGATGAATAATTATATTTATATTTCATTCAGGTTATAGTAGTTTTTTAAGTGGGAGTGGGTGGATTTGTTGCCATGCGCACCTTGGGATTTGTAATGCGAATGTTTAAAAAAAGAGTATTTTTTTCTTTTTATGATTTTGTCTCTCTTCTCCCACCTCTTGTCTTCAAGTGTTCTTGCTATTAACATTATTTGTAATTTAGTTTGTAATTCATTAAAAACAAAAGTTCCTAGTTTTATAGTTCATCTCTTTCCTCCTTTACTTATATATTTACTGAAAGAATGACGTGAGAGAGAGAATATGTGATAGTTGGTTTCAGAGCTCCCCTTTTTTCCTAATCTCTCTGTGCAGGGCTACCCACCTCACCCCAATTCGGCCTCTTTTATGCAATTGGGATAGTGCCCAAAGTGGGCAAAATGAGAATTGTTGCCCCCATTTTACTGTCAAAGAAATGGAAACCTACTTCACTTTCCCCACAAACCTGAATCATCCCCTGCGCACACACACACACCCACACACCCCACATACATATACATACAAGGTGGCAGTTCCAGAATTTCAGAGACTTAGGAGGGACTTAGGAACAGCGGTTGGACGTGGGCTCCATGGGAATTCGCCTTGACACTTAATTTCCCAGTAAGCTCGTCGTTTTTCCTTTTTGTTGCACATCACAGTTTTCTAAAGATATTTTAATCACATTTATATACGACTCAGAATATATCAATTGTCTGTATGACAAATTATGGAAGGCGTTAAAGTCTCCCCAAGCTACTACTTCTTGGAGTTGCCTCGGTCTCAGCCCCACCAAAAAATATCTCAGACCGCCGGCGCCGGCCACCCCAAAAATTCCTGTCCTCTGGGGCCCCACAAAAAGGAGGCCGCATCGACGAGAGTGCCACTTAAATTCCCAGGCTCCGGGTCCTCAGGTGAGATGTTTCTCTTTCCGCCGCCAATTTGTCATAGAGGGCAGGGCCCGAGGGTCAGCCCCCACCAAATCCAGGGGGAGGGGCGAAGGTCAGCAGCCGCCTTCCTAAGGCTTCTTTCAACCCCGCCTTGCCTGCCATTCAAGTTTCGAATCTTCCCAGTACTGGTTAAAGCTTCACTTTGACCCGCCTCCATCACTCACCTGATTAGATGTTTATGAGTCAGAAGGCGGGGTCATGAGGGTGTCGAGATATTATTGGTTGACCTGTACACCTATCAGCAGTGCACCGCCCTCCGCTTCAGAAAGCTCGCTCTTTAATGGCTCCTCTCCTCGTCCATCTTCAGAGTTTCCCTCTCTATATTGGTCTGGGGCCCCGCCTGTCCAGTCCCTCGCTCGTACTCGTTGGTGAGAGCGCCGGAAGAGGCCCGCCTTTCTCCAGAGGATTGGCGGATTAGTGCGCACATCGCCCACCCTTGATGGTAGGCGGGTAATCGTGCTATTGGCTGGGGCCCCCGCCCCAGGACGAGAGGAGGAGGAGGGGCAGGAGGGTTTGGTTGAGCTGCAGCTGTTTGTCTGTTCGACACAGGCTTGGGCCCGACGGGGGAGACGGAGCCCCAGGTACCGGACTGATGGAGCCTACAAGGGCAGGGGCGGAGGCGCCCGGGAGAGGAGAGCAGCCTGGCCTGAGAGCAGAGGCGGGTCTGGGCCTCAGCGAGGGGTCAGAGTGGCCCACTGGAGAGGGGAGCAGGGGGCCGGACCCCGGCAGGCCTAATGGGGGCGCTGAGGAGGGGGTCGGGCGGGCTGGGAGCCCGAAGTTGGTGAGGCCTGGAGGCGGCCGGGTTCTGTTGGCGGGCCAGGGGCCAGCGCGGGAGGCCCCGGGCTGTGTGAGGGCAGAGGCAGGCCTCATATTGAGCAGCGCTGAAGAGGGAGGAGCTGGGGGAAAGGGCTGGGGCCATGGGTGAGGTAAGCCCATTTGCCGGGAGGTGAGGAGGGGTCAAACCTGACGCCCGGTCTGCGAGGGTAACCCGGTTGGGGGTCTCGAAATGACCAATTGGAAGGACCTGAGAAGGCTTCCTAGTTGGGTAAGGGGCATTCTCTTCAGGGAAAGTGACTATTATAAAAATAACTAGGGTGCCCCTGAGTTGAGCCGAGAGGGATTTGGGTTCATTGAGGGAGAACGGAGGCAAAAGACGAAAGCTTTACTAATCTAGAAGACTAGTTGGAGAAGTGGCCCCAGGGCCTGGTATCAGTTACGGGAGCTTCTGGGAATGCTCAAGGGTGGGTCGGAGGATCTGGGTCTTGGAGGACCCACTCTTTTGTTCCTCTTCGTATCGAGATGTGGTAACCTGAAGTTTTTGGGTACTCCCGGGGTAGCTAATGAAGACAAAAGTTAAAAAAAAAAAAAAAATTCTGTGGCTGTTCGCTGTTCCAGAGTCAGCCCCTGCACTTTCCCTTGGCCTGAACTGGTTTAGGGTGCAGTATCTGTTTCTTGTTACCAGTCTCAGCTGGGTTAGGGTGCAGTCCTGTGAAAGAGCTAAGAAGTTGGATTTGGGGTGTGTTTGTTTCTTTCTCGCTTAATAATCTGGTCTATGGTGGTTACTGTATCTCTGACCTAGAAGCAGGGGATCAGTGATTTTATTATCCGCACTTGAAAGGGGCTTAGAGATCCCCAGCCACAAGATCTTCTGACCATAGTTGGTGAAACTTTGTGGGACTTACACTTGGGTATTTCCCAGACAGGTAATGGTTAGGTGGAACCAAGCCTGGAAATAAGAGGTGATATCACTGAGGAACGGATTTGAGGAAGAGTGAGAAATTCCATTCCAGAAGGTTGGCATCACCCCTGTTCTTTGTCTACTTCACGAGCCCAGGTTTCTGGGCTATTAGAAAGTTGGGTCAAATGCCTCAACAGTGAGGCATTTGAGGAAGGGGGTGAGTAGAGAAAAAGAAGATGGATTACTAAAGCACAGGAGTCTGCCCTCCCCCATATATTTTTAATGGTCTGCTGACTTCTTTAGTCCCCCATAGATTGGAGTTTATTGGATTTTCCCTTATTATACTTCCTCCTTTTACACAAATGTATTTTATAACTACATTTCCTCTGAATTACAAAAGTAATATGTACATATTTTAAAATACTCAGGATGTACAGAAGTGTACAAAGTGTAAATCTTCCCATATATTCCTCTCTCATTTGTCCAAAAAGGTCAGAGACTAGAGACAGCAGATCAGACTAATCTCACTTTGCTTTGGGGATGTGCCACCAAAGGCAATTCTGTTTTCATGTTCTCACCAAACTCTGGCCTCGCATTCTTTCCAGTTTTCCCTTCTGGAATGATACTCTGTTATTTATTGTGCTCCTTTCACGCTCATTTTGTCTTCCTTCTATCAAAATCAGACAAATAGGTGTACTCTAGGTTATCCTTAAAACACACACACAGTGCCCCCTGCCCCCAGTTGTGCACTGGGTATCCTAGGAAATGCCCAAATAGATGGCCAGTACTTTTTTCTCTCTCATGGGCAGGAAAGGAACATTAGGTGAATCATTTGTTTGGGAGAATTATTGGATCTTTGCTAAAGTGAGGAATTTGAGACCTCTATCTTCTGGTTCATGGTCTGTGCATGTTCAGATTATGACTGTCCTTTCATTAACCTAAAAGATGATGATGGTTCTCCTAAAGGGCCTCTGTATCTGTCTTTCTGTAGTGATGTGAGAAAACGCTCAAGTTTCTCTGGATTTGAAATTGTTTCCTCTAAAACCTCAGTACAGTTGGGACATTTCATTCTACTACCTTATTAATTGAATTTGTCCTTACTGGCTTTAGAAGGCTCTAGTGTGCCCAGCCTTTGTACGGTGCCCCCAGAAACTTTGATTATGTACCCCAAGGAGTTTTTATTTTCCTTCTGCAAAGCCAGTCCTAGAGAAAATTGTGTGTGTGTGTATGTGTTGTTTCTATAGGCTTTGCCATTTTCTACATCCTGCTGGTATACCTGTCCCTTTCTTCTATACTTTTTTTTTTGCTTTTCCACCTTCCTATTTTTTTTAATTTTTTTTTAAGTAGGCTCCACGCCCAGCAGGGTTGAACTCACGACCCTGAGATCAAGACCTGAGCCGAGATCAAGAGTCAGACACTTAACCCACTGAGCCACCCAGGTGTCCCTCGACCTTCCTCTTAATCAAAGTCTACCTTCAAGAAACAATCTGACACAGATCTAGAGTTAAAAACTATATTTGGAGACGAGTGCTTTCCCCTTATTCTTCAAGTCATACTTGATTACAAGTTATACTTGTAACTCTTAGTTTTCCCCGGAGCAAGGATTGCTTTTCTATAGTTTGCTTGTTTGTATGCATTGATACGAATTTGACTTCTGAGGAGGCATAGGGTAGGAGAAACAAGTGTATAGACTGCTCCCTAATCCTAAAGCATTTCAGATTGGAAAGTAACCAAAGTGTTAGACGATGAACTTAAAATAAGGAAATGCAACAGCCCTCTAGGAGGAAGGATACCTTAAAACCCTACACAATACGCTCCCACTTCCCAAGAGTGTTGTAGGAAAGATTTAGTCATTGAACAGTAACTGAGCTGAGTAAGGTGCCAACCAGGTGAGCAAAGTGTATGCAGATTTCTGGGCCAGATTGTGGCTATGGTTTAGGGGCAGTG